ACACCGGGAGCTCACTGAAAGGTCTCTAAGAGAGTAGATCTTAAATGCTGTCACCACAAGAAAACGGTAACTGTGAGGTGACAGAGGTGCTCACAGCCCTCATTGTGGAATCATTTGCTACACATTCGGGTATCAGTCAGATCATGAGGTTGCACATGGTAGACTTACACAGTGTTAGGTGTGGATCCAGACCCGGCAAGCCTGGGGGGACCACCAACCCGCCGTAGGGATTCTCCTGTTGGCGCATTGACGGTCGCCTGGGAGACGTGGTCGACCAGCTGGCTGTTACTTAACTGCAAGGCCCAGGATTCCAGGTTTGATCAGTTATCCAGTTAGCAGGGAAATTCCTTTGAGGTTCTCGCTGAAAATGGTTTCTGGCAAGGGGTGAGGACCCCCGTTAGGGTTGGCCCCCGGTGAGCCCGGGATGGACCACAACCCCTCTCCTCAGAGTGTAAGTTGATAGGACCTACTCTAAGCTGTTACTCACTGGCCGCACACTTACATGGCATCAGACGAGAGCTTTCATCAATGACCTTCATTAAGGTGTTATTACAAAGATACACATTAGATGGCAGCAGAGAAATGCGTTTTTTGATGAACTTCATTGTGTTACTTCTTATGTGCGCCCTAGACGGCAACAATAAAGGGTTTTTCTCATGACCTGAATTTGGGAATTATTCCCAAGGTGAGCACCAGATGGCAGCAGAGGGGCGCTTTTTCTAGTGACACCCGGTCTGGTTTTATTCATACATGCATCGGCGGAGAATAACTTTTCATGACATACACTCGTGTTCTGCACTGGTTGCACACTAGGTGGCAGCATACTAGTGCGTTTCCTGGTGACCTCTCAACTGCTATTCCCATGGACGAGACTACAGCAGAGCTATTTTCTCAACTGCGCAGCTGTTCGTTTCAATATGCACACTAGGTGGCAGCAGGTAATTTCTTATGATGCTATACACTCAGTTAATTCACTAGTTACACGTGAGATGGAAGCAGGGAATAGCTTTCTTTAGTGTGCTCCACTCAGGTCTTTTTTTATTTTGAAATTTCTTTTATTGAGTTTTTGAGAGAGGAGAGATGAATTTGTTGTTTCACCTGCTGATGCATTCATCAGTTGATTCTTGTATGTGCCCCGACCAGGGATCGAACCTGCAACCTTGGCATATCCGGATGACACTCTAACCGGGTGACCTAAACTACTTGGCCAGGGCCTCGGGTGTTATTATTATTAATATTTTTTTACATTTTTTAAAGACTTTATTCTTAGAGAGATGGGAAGGGAAGGACAAATGAAGGAAACATTGATGTGTAAGAGAAACATCAATCAGTTGCTTTTTTTTGTTCTTTTTTTTCTTAAGATTTTATTTTCAGAGAGAGGGGAAGGGAGGGAGCAAGAAAGGGAAACATCAATGTGTGGTTGCCTCTTGCATGCCCCCTACTAGGGACCTGGCCCACAACCCAGGCACGTGCCCTGACTGGGATTAAAACCGGCGATCCTTTGATTCACAGGCCGATACCCAATCCAGTGAGCCACACTAGCCAGGACTCGATGGCTTGCTTCTTGCATTCCCCCAACAGGAGACATGGCCCACAACCCAGGGAGGTGCCCTGACCAGGAATCAAACTGGTCACCTGCTGGTTTGCCAGATGACGCCCACCCCACTGAGCCAGGCAGGGCTGCACCTGCTATTTCTAAGTATCACCCAAGAGTGTAGCAGAGAAAAACTTTTCCTGCTCTAAGGTTTTGAAAACCAATGTTGCCCTAATAAATTAAATTTTAAAAATAAAAATAAAAGATATCTCCAAAGTTAAAAAATGTACACTTGAAACCTATATAATCTTATTAACCAATGCCACCCCAATAAACTTAATTAAAAGAAAAATAAGGAAGCCATTTGGAAACAAACCATTAAAAATACAATTTAAAATAACACTATCCACCTATATACAGATTTGAAAATTTTTATATATATTTTTAAGTGAAAAAAGCAACGAGTGGAGTACTTTTTACAGCACAACCTGTGACATGAGGAAACAGAAGACAGAGACTGTATAAACCAGCAGCACTCTAACCAAGCTGCTACAGTGTTACCTCTGCGATGTTCGCAGCACAAGGGAAGGTTCCACTCTTGTTCTAACTAGCCTGCGAACTTATACTGTTTGAACTTCCCAGTCCTGGGTTGATGCCTAGATTCCATCACCTACCTGCAGGTAACCCTCTAATTGCCTCCTGAAAGTGTCACACATACAACCCCCGACATCCCTCACCCAGACCACTGAGCGTGACCGACCACCTGGCGTCCATCATACGACTGATGACCACCCTGAACCAATCCTAGGGCTAAGAATGCAGGACAAACAATTCTCGGGAATGTGCTTTTTACTAAAAGAACTTTTAACTTTTCTCTCTACTTTGCACACCTCTGGGTTTCAGCCAAGCTATATTTCTGTTTGCAAACACTAAGACCCATACATAAATCTCTATCATTTATCTCTGGCATAGCCTCCAGACTTGTTTTGAGTCTGACACATTTAAAAGTTACTTATAACTGTGATACATGTGTATGCAAATGCACATAAAAGGCCTAGAGGGCCCTGGATGGTGCGGCTCCATGCACTGAGCGCCGGCCTGCAAACCGAAGTGTTGCGGTTCTATTCCCAGTCAGAGCACAGGCCTGGGTTGCGGGCCAGGTTCCCAGTTCAGGGGGCCTGAGAGGCAACCACACATTGATGTCTCTTTCTCCCTCCCTTCCCCTCTCTCTAAAAATAAAATAAAATAGTCTTTTCTTTTCTAAGGCCTAGAGGGATACACACTTTTTACAGCATCAAATACTGTCCCCCACAAAATTCACGTCCATCTGGAACTTCGGAATGTAAACTTATTTGGAAATAGGGTCTTTGCAGAGGTAATTAGCCAGGTCAGAATGCGGTCATACTGGATTAGAGCGGACCCTAAATCCAATGGCTGCTGTCCTTAACGGAGGGTCAGGTGTGGCAAACAGGGAAGATGCAGTAATGACAGGGTTGCTGCCAGAAGAGGGGCTGGAACGGACCCTCCTTCTGAGGATCCATGAAGAGCTGACGCTGCTGACACCTCGATGTCAGACTTCCGAAAAATGAATGTAAAGAAGTTACCCACATTTTATGTTGCAATGTTTGGTTCTGTCTCTTACCAAGCATGAAACCTTGAACAAGTCATTACCTATATAAAGGTCTCAGTCACTTCGCCTATAAAGCGGGGGTGGGGACATCCACCCTGTTCACTGCCCAGGTTGCTGTTGGAGCCTCCCTGGACCCTCCTCTCACGACCCACATCCGTCCTTCCTCGAAACGGCTGTAGTGACGGTACCCGCCTCTCCCTCCGCCTGCCGCCCCCACCCCTAATCCGTCTCCAGACTCGAGCGGATTCATTTCCCCAAAACACCACTGCACCTTCCTTTCCTTTTGGACGCCCTTCAGCAGTCTCTAATTACCCATTATTTTTTTAAGACTTTTTTTATTTGCAGGCTGGCAAGAAGTATTAAGTGATGAAAAGCAAGGACCTACAGCCTAGATTACTCTATCCAGCAAAGCTACCACTTAGAATTAAAGGGCAGATAAAGTGCTCCCCAAACAAGGTAAAATTAAAGAGGTTCTTCATCACCAAGCCTTTATTATATGAAATGTTAAAGAGACATACAACAAAAAGATCAAAACTATGAACATTACAATGGTAGCAACTAAATCTAAATCTAACACTACTAACCTAAACAACTAAGTCCATAACTAAATCTAAAAACCAAACTAAGCAAACAAAAACAGGAACACAAATACAGATATGGAGATCACTTAGAGGGTTATCAGAGGGGAGGGGGAGGGGGGAGACTGGGGGAAAAGGGCCAGAGAACAAGCAGCATAAATTGGTAGGCACAAAACAGACAGGGGGAGGGTAAGAACAGTACAGGAAATGGAAAAGCCACAGAACTCAGACGCATGACCCATGAACATGAACTAAGGGAGGGGGCTGCTGGAGGGAAGGTGGGGACCAGGTGGAGGGGGCACAGGGGAAAAATGGGGACAACGGTCACAGAGTGATCAATAAAATATATATTTTTTTAAAAAGCAGTTGCAAGACGCAAGCAAGATGGGAACTGGGGGAGGGGGCCACATCAGAGAGGAAGTCAGGAGCCTAAAAACCTGCAGGACCGACATGAGACCTTGTCCACCAGCCTCATGTTGTATCGTGGGCACAAGAAAGTGACCGGTCAGAGAAATAGCGCCTGACACACACACACAGAGAACCGACCCCCCGGCCGAGGACGGGGAGTGAGCGCGGGCATTGGAGAACCCCGGGGGCTCCCGCACCAGCCGGGACCAGAAGGCCAAGCAGCGAAGTCAGAGAGAGCACAGAAGACCTGAGCGTCATTTTGAATATAGAGCTCAGATGCCAGGGGAGTATTGAGCACACGCTAGAGGAAGCGCACTCCAGGGTGGCCCAGGTTCCGGCCTCTTCAGCTGGGTGGGCAGTAGCGCCATTCCCCGAAAAGCAGAAAACAGAGGGAGACTTCGGGGCTCACTGAATGTTTTGGATTAGTTTGAAATGTCTATGACAATCAAGTCAGAGATGCTGACTAGGTAGGTGAGTTCCAGATATCCAGCTAGTCTGGGATGCAGATCTGCAGAGGCCAGCAAAGACGGCATCAAAGCCGCCACGGGGGACCGAGAAACCTGCAAAACCCGACTCCGCAGCACAAGTCCTGGGACCATCGCCTGCAGCGGCCAATGCACAGAGAGGGCACCTAAGAACAAAGGCTGGCCTGCTGGGGGCCACACTGGTCCCTGAGGATGACACGTGCTCAGGATGAAGGCAATGCAAAGGACCGAGCCCTGGGAGAGAGCCTGGACCCCCCAGCGCCAGAAGCCTGCATCCTCTGTACCCCGTCTATCACAGGCAGTTAGCACACACTCTCACTCACCCATTTTTGTGAAACTTTTATTAGGGCACCGTGACAAAGCGGCATAGAGCACCACGTGAGCGCCAGCGCGCCCTGCCCTCCCTGAGCGCCAGCGCGCACCGCGCCCTCTCCCCGTGGCCCTCCCCCTGAACGCGGAGCAAGGCGTTGTTCCTGCCACGTGCTAATGCATCCCTTTACTGCAGAAGCCTTTCTGAAAGGACCCCTTTTCCCAGCAGCAGCAGGAGCCGTTCAGCTGAAAACCCAGAAATGGGGTCTCATGCTTGTCAGACAGGACTTGATACGCTGGTCTCACATCTGCCCCACAGCCATGGCACCAAATGAACTGGCCAGCCAGGGACAGACTGACCCCACATCTGTCCGACAAAGTATTCCCAGAAAGGCTCTGCACTCAAGACAGACCCCCCACGCCCCCTAGGGAGGGGGACAGTTCCAGGGTTGGGAGGGGCTAAAAGAAATTGAACCTAAACTCTTCATCAGGAGTGTCGGGTGTGGCCTTGCGTCCCCTTGCCAGGCGAGGCCTGCAGACCTTTCCGCTCTTCTTCCTCATGGCCTCGCCTACAGGCTGCACCTGGGCGGAGCGGGCTGCTGTGGGGGAGAGGAGACAGCGTCAGGACTGAGTAAGGAGAGCTAACGTCAACCGTGCCCATATAACTGTCATCCCTTTGCATAAATTAACTATTTGCTTCTTGCCCTGACTGGTGTGGCTCAATGAGCTGGGGGTTGCCCTGCAAACAGAAAGGTTGCCATTTCGATTGCCCGTCAGGGCAAATGCCTGGGTTGTGAGCCAGGTTCCTGGTAAGGGGTGTGTGAAAGGCAACCGATCCATGTTTCTCTCTCTTTCTTCTTCCTTTCCCCTCTCTCCAAAACTAAATAAATAAAATCTTTTTAAAAATCAATTAACTGATTTGCTTCTATCAGGTAGGTATAAGGTAGGCATTATCATCACACCCCATTTAGGTCTCAGAGAAATTCACGGACTCCCCTACCCGGTCCTCCCCAGCGCAGGCCTGAGTTCCGTGCCCTGGAGGTCTAGGCTTTCCCTCGCCAGGCCTGCTGCTCTGGGAGTCCTCCTCTGCGCAGTCCTGACTCAACCAGTTCTCAAGCTCTCAGCTCCTCACCAGTCTTGAGAGCGCGCAGGGCTTCACGCCACTCAGCTTCCATCTGAGCCCTGTAGTCCCCGAACAGGGAGCGCATCAGCTGCCTCTTCCGGGGCAGAGGGGTTCTATCGCTGCGCAGGGTTCGGATGGCCCCGATAGCCTGCTCTTCTGCAGATAAAAATGAAGGGTTAGAGACCTCCTCTAACCTCCCCTCCTGCGCCAAAGCACCGAGTCCATCCCCTGGCAGCAGCTGCAGACCAAAGGGCTGTCACGGTTCACCACCCCTCCGCCCCAAACTCTACAGAAGGGCCCCTCACTCTGTTTTGGGCTGGGTCTCTGCATCTTCAGTCCCAGTTCCAGCTGCTCCACGCACCAGGACAGTTCCCGAGCCAGCTGCTCCGCCTGCGATGGATTGGAAACAGTGGCTGTGAACGACTGCGAGGACCCTGCAGCCTCCGCCCCCATCCCATCCCCCCCGCCTCCCCCCCCCCCGCCCGCCTTAAACCCACAAATCTAAGACTACAACGGCTGACACCATGAATGCACCCGGAGACTCTGCCCTCCCCGAATGAGGACCGTCCTTGCCTGGGCCTCCTTGCTTAGAGGGGCATCCTCTGGGGCCGGCTTTTCCAAGGCCTTCCCCCCTCCATTCGACACGGAAGCCCTATTCCGGCTTTTCTTCTTCTTTTGCTTCCTAGAGGCTGCGTCGCCTTCACCGTCTACGGGGTGCGCCCTGGAAGCGGCGTCACTGCACGTGGCGTGCCCTGAACAAGGATGGACGGGATGAGACGGGATAGTGGAAAGACTCTTCAGGGCGCCAAGAAACGGCGCGGAGCGCCACGGGCTGCGAGGCGCGCGGGCAGTACCTGGGCCTGGGGTCGCCGGTGTCTCCCGGGCAGGATGTCCTAGGGCCTGGAGAAAGGCGGTCAGCAAGAGGGTCACGGGGGGCGGCCGACGGCCCGAGGCCCGGCCACCCGCGCACCCTCTGGGGACTGCTCACCGCCATGCCCCGCCGCCACCGCCTCCGGAAGCTACGTAGGGCCCGGAGTCTGCGGCGTATTCGCTCCTCCAGCAACGCGTCCCCGGCGCACAAGGTGGGGGGTGGGGCCGGCCTCGCTGTGGGCGGGGCGTCAATGTGGGCGGGGCGTCCGTGAGGCCTCCGCCGGCAGCTGCCGGGAGGACCCTCAGGGACACGTGGTCACCAGCACCTACTGCGGGACAGACACCGCTTTGGGTGAAAGGAGAGCCCGAGGGAGGGCTGTCCAAACTCACGTTCCAGGGCCGCGAGAGCAGCAGGTGCGCGAACGTGAAGAGCTGTCCCGCAGGGAAGCGCTGTGAGTAGCGGTCGCGACTCAGCAGCGCCCCCCGGGGACCAGCGCCTGGTAATAAATTGCGTAACAGATACCAGGGACTCGAAAGGCGATTTGAATAAAGGGAAGCATAGTCTATATTGCTGCCTTGGAAGATTTACTATTGTAAAGATATTAATAACGTGGTGGGCACCACGTTCCGCGTCCCAGGAATTGAGCGCGGGTCGACCTCACGGTGCGGCCCCGGCGGGCGGGCACTCGCGACTTCGGGTGGGTCTCAGCTGCCTGCACCCTTCCGCGCTGTCTGCAACCGCTGCTCCTTTGTGTGGCGAGACACCCGTGGTTCTTGTCCCCCTCGTGGCGATGGGTCCATACCCCCGACTGCCAGACTACTGGCTTGTTCCTGGAGGCAGGGCGGGGTTAGATTGATCTCGCTCTGAATTTTTGTTAATTCAAAATGCCGCTGTTCACCATTCAGAGTAAGAGCTTACGGAGTCCAGTGGTTAGAAAGCTTTAGCTCAGAGCGAGGTCACAGTAAAATCAGAGAGAGACCTACGGGTCAGTACGCTCCCGGCAGGGATCAACCGAACCCAACCCAGCCCGCAGCCTAAGTACGATCCCTGATCGGGCCTTTGGAGTGCGGGACCCCGCTCCAACCCACTGAGCTCTGGTCAGGGCTAATCGGTTGTCTTTTTATATTTAGTTATATGGACCGGCTCTGACAGCAGCGACCCGGCTTGGAGTTCCGTCAGCGCGGGAGTGGGGGTCGGACCCACCGAGTCGCGGCAGCCTCCCGCCACCTAGAGCGGTCACGCCGGCCAGAGCGAGGCGGGCCCTCGGACAGGAAGTTGGGGCGGGACTTCCGGAGTTCGCCTCGGGGCGATCCGCCTGGGAGCCGTGGCTTTGCGTCTTCCCCATAGCGACCCCCGGGGCGGGGGTTCGCGAGGGTTAAATCTCCACGTTGACGACCACGCTCCCGCGTGATGCCCGTGGCCCCGCGGTGGGTGCCGGCCCCGGGCTGTCTAGAGCGGATGGGCGGGGGTCTTGGGAACCGCGGGGGGAGGGGCAGGTGCTGCTCGGCCTGGGCGGAGTCCGAGCCCTAGGGGTTGGGTGGCGCCCTCGGGAGGGGGCAACGCAGTGGCTGCCAGGCCCCGGATCCTGGCGGCGGGGCCGCCTGGCGCACCTGCTACAGTGGCGGGGCAGGTGTGCGGGGAGTGGGGTTTTAGCGGTGGGGATGCGGGGAAGGCCTCGGCAATTCGGCGCGGACGTCGGGCGGTGAGGAGTGGGCTGTCGTGCAGCCCCAGGTGTCCCTCCTGGAGGCCCCGCCGAAGGCGGAATCGCGCTCCGGGTGGAGAAGGGGCCGGGGGGCCTTCGGAGTGGGGCAGAGGGGTGGGTTGTGCCCCTCCTGTGGATTCCTACCGTGGTCTGGTGACTGCTGGGCGCTCCATTTGTCTGGGCACCAGGTTGAGCTCTAAACCATGAGAATTTGCTCCCAGGTTCATTGGCATAATCCAGCTTCTGGAGATCGTTGCACTGAAGTGCACATTTTCCTACTGGCTGTCCTTATCTCTCGGAGGCCCCAATCCTTGTACGTGACCCGTGTCTCAGAGTCAGCAACGGCTCCTGTAATTACTTTGCGTTCAGTAGGATACCCCGGGCTCAAACCTTAATTCCGTCTGCAAAGTCTGTTGTACGTGTAACTAGCGTAGCCAGAGATTCCAGGCATTTGGATGTGGAGGTGGGTGGAGAGGGGTCTCTTCTCTGCCACCAACTGGGTCTGTGTCCTGCTGGGCAAGATTCCACATATATTGGGTTGAGAAAAACAAGATCTAAAACGACCAGTTTGTTACACTTTATATTGAGAAGGCAAAGAAAAAATGTACATACTCGCGTTGGAAGCTTAATGTGCAGGGTACATTCGAAACTGGGCAGGGGAACTGAGTGGCTGGCCGGGAGATACTTTTTAACTTGAATTTTGAGCCGTATGCCTGTGTCCCTGTTTGGTTATAGTGATGATGATTTCAAGAAAGATTTTTAAATAAAATGAACTGACTCAATGAGTCTCCCCTTGGGAGAGGGAGAGTGAAGCGCCCTGCCCCTGGAAGCAGCTACTGCTCTGTTCTCCTGCCACATGGAGGGACACCTTATGTCAGTGCTCTGCCTGCTTTGGATTTCGTCTGTGCTGCCCCGCGTACTGCCGGTGCCAGCCTGACCTTCCTGACACGGTTCACCTGGTCTGTCTCTCTCGTCACTTAGAAATGTAGCTGGTGCCGCACCTTCATGAGGCAGCCAAGGCTTCCAATACTCTGTACCAGGATAACCCTGCCTCTGAGCTCTGACCACGCCTCTGCCCCATTTCACCCCTCCTTCCACCCTTCTAACCAGGTGTGGCCTAAACCCCTTCTCTGGGTCTGGCTTAAAGGCCCACAGCCCCAGGGCTGCACCCCTGGACACTTGCCCACCCCGCTGAGGCATCTGCCATGATGTCTCCTACTGAAGTCCCTGAGTACTACAGAAACTGCTGTGTCTTGCAACGTCCCCGGAACAGACCCGGGCATATGACGTGTGTTTTGCAAGCACTAAAAACATGTGTCCAAGAGGAAAAATCCACTCTGGCCAGATAGGTCAGTTGCTTAGAGCGTCGATCCCAGGTGAGGGGACATATAAGAAACAGCCAGTGAATGCAGAAGTGGAACAACAACTTGATGTTTCTCCCCGCCCTCCCAGTTTCCCTCTGGAAAATCAATACATAAACTTTTTTTTTTAATCCAGACCATAGGTTGGCAGGCAATGTCCAAAATGGGCTTCTGCCAACATTTCCTACCTCATCCTCTTCTCCCCTGAAAGGTGGAGGGGTCAGTGTACCTGTCGATGGTGCGGTGTGCGTAAGGGGCTAAGGGGTATCCGCCCCTCCTGGGTGACCACTGGGCATATTGCATTTGCACACAGACTGGGCAGTGGGAGGGGTAGGGGGTCCGTAACTTGGTGATTCAGGGTGCCCGTCGTGTCCAGCTGGGAATGTCTGTCTTCCTGCCAGGGGAGCAGCTTGGGAGTCTGCCCAGGATAGGGGTTGTGTCTCCCTCAGGACTGGACACATCCAGTCCTGACACATTGAGGAAGTCGGTGTCCGTACAGAAGCGAGGCCTGGAGCACCAACACGCAGGGGCGACGCAGGGCCTGGGAGGGAGCTGCTGGTGCAGCGGGAGGATGGCCCGGGGGGGGACGAGGACGTCTACTGCGGATGCTGCCAGAAGGGCTCAGCTCAGGCAGGACTGGCCACGAGGTGACCATGGACCTGTCCACAGCGCAGGCTGCCCAAACTCTGGAGCTGCCGGTCTGCCAGTGAGTGGTCAGGCGGCCCACCTTCAGGGCACTGTCAGCGGGTGCAGGCTCCGCGCTGCGCGCCAGGGCGTGCCCGCAGGGCCCTGTGGACCCCTCGCCCTCGGTGTCCCTGTGGCTGGCTGACCCCTCCTTGGGTCTGGGGCAGGGAATGGGGCCGCAGTCCCTGAGACTCGGCAGCAGGCTCTCCTCAGTCTCGGGCTGCAGGGTAGAGGGAGAGACCCCCAGCGGGTGGGAGGCTGGGTCCCTGCGGTCAGCCCTGTGCACACTTACTAGTGTCCTTTCTGGCCTGCAGGTGCCAGTCATGCCCAGCCTCAGAGCCCGCCCCGAAGAGACAGAGATGGAGCCCTCAGCTCCCGGGCCATCCCCATGGACCCCTGCAGCCTGTGTGAGCGGTGCGCCCACCGTGACCCGCCCGGCGTCTGCACTGTGTGCCCCGCTCTGCTGCGGCAACACCGAGCGGGGAGCTGCCCCCCCGCACCGTCAGCAGCCAGGTACTGGGACCGAGTGCTCCGCTGGTGCCCTCCTTCTGGGGGGACTCTGTCCACGTCACCCTGCCTGTGTCACCCCCAGGGGCGGGTGCCTCGTGGCCTGGAGGGCCCAGGGCCAGGGGGCAGGGAGGGAGCTGGCCTCGTCCCCTGCAGCCAGGGTGCCCCGAGTGTGACACTCCGGTTTCCCCGCCTGGCGCGCAGGGGCGCAGTGTGATGGCTGCCAGCTGAGCCCTGCCTCGCCCAGCCGCCAGGGTGGCTGTCCCCTCCCCTCAGCCCTGCCCTAACCAGGCTCCCGTGCCCTTCAGCACCCTCCCAGGTTCCGGCCTCGGCCGCCCGCCTCCCTCCTCTGTGGACGCCTCGGTGGTGCTCACTCTGTCGGTTTTCCCTGCTGGGGTCTGAGGAGAGCTCTTGCACAAGAGGACTCTTGTGTCCTACGGGGACCTGTTATTGTACTTGGGACAACTGGGCAGAGTACCCTCGTCGGAACCAGTGCGGCCAGGGAAGGCTGGGCTGCGGGCCGAGGAGGTGGTGTGGGGCCGTCTTACGTGTGTTGCAGCGGGGTACAGAATAGCGACGTGACAAGACCCCAGGACGTGGCCCTGAAATAGAGGCCTGCTCACCGTCGCACGCAGAGGCCGGGCGTGCTGTGCCGAGGGCGGGGCGGGAAGCGGGGACGTTGGCTCCGGGAGGCGAACAGGTCAGAGGTGCTCATGCTGAAGAGCCACGGAGGGGCAAAATGGTGGAGTAGGCAGCTCCAAACACCTGTTTTTCCACATAAATATTTTTTATTATTATTTTAATTCTCCCCCAAGGATATGTTTATTGATTTTAGAGAGACAGAGAGAGGGGGGCAGAGAGAGCAACGCTGACTGGTTGCCTCCCTTCCGCCCCAACCAGGGGTCAAACCCACAGCCTGTCGGCGTGCGGGACAGTTCTCCAACCGACTGAGCCACCCAGCCAGGGCCACAGAAATATTTTATAGAAATAAGCAGAAACTGGATCAACTGTGGCAGGAATCCAGAAAACAGATTTACCAACCAAGCCAATGCTGAATCATGGAAAAGGCAACTTAAAAATGGTAGGAAGGCTCTGTGGTGGTGATTTTTTACTTACGTATTTATTTTTACTATTTATTATTTATTTAATTATTTATTATTTATTTATTGAGGGAGGGAGGGAGAGAAATGTTGCTGTGCGAGAGAAACATTGGTCAGTTGCCTCTCACACGCCCCCGGCCAGGGACCTGGCCTGCAGCCCAGGCCTGTGCCCCGACTGGGAATTGAACCGGCGACCTTTTGGTTTGCAGGCTGGTGGTCAGCCCACTGAGCCACACCAGCCAGAGCATATTTATGTATTGATTTTTTTTTTTTTTAGAAGTGGGGGAGAGTGAGAGAGGGGGGAAAAAAAGGAAATATCAGTTTGTTGTTCCACTTACTTATGCATCCACTGGTTGATTCTAGTATGTGCCCCAACCAGGGATTGAACCCACAACTTTGGCAACAGGGACAGTGCTCCATCCAACCAAGCCACCTGGCGTTAACCAATCCCTGAGTCCCTCTTGGCAGTCTGCTTTTTCCAGGGATTTGTCTTTTTCACCTAGGTTATCTAATTTGCTAGTATACAACTGTTATCAGTATTTTCATACTTCTTTTTACTTTGGTAGGCTTGGTAGTAATGTTCCCATTTGCATTTCTGATTTTTCTTGTCTTTTATTTCGGTCACTCTAAAGGTTAGTCAATTTGGTTCATCTTTTCAAACACAGAAACTTTTGATTTGGTTGGTTCTCTGTTGTTTCTCTACTATTTCGTTTATCTCTGCTCTAATGTTCGTTTTTGCCGTCCTGTAGCTTTGGATGCAGTTTGCCCTTCTTTTTGTAGTTCCTGAAAGTATAAAATTGGGTTAATGATTTAAAATCTTTTGAGACTTTCCCTTTCACATTACCTTCCCTGCATGCCATAAGCTTTGACATTTTGTGTTTTTGTTTACATTTGCCTGTAGGTATTGTCTAATTTTCCTTGTGATTACTTCCTTGACCCATTGGTTAAGAGTGTGTTGTTTAATTTCTATGAATTTGTGACTTTTCTTGCCATCATTGGTTGGAGATGAAACTTTACATCATTTTAGTCTTAAAACATATTGAAACTTACCTTGTGACCTAACATAATCTGTGTTGAAGAACTGTCCATGTATCCAGGAGAGAAGTGTGTATCTGGTCGTTTGGGTGAAGTGTGTGTCTGCAACCCTGGCTGGTCTGTAATGTTGCTGAAGTTCCCTGTTCCATTACTGATCCTCTGTCCAGATGTCCTATCCATTTTTGGAAATGAGGTATTGAAGTCTCCAACTATCATTATAATCTCCAACGTTCATATCTGTGTGCTTCTTATATTTTAGGGTTCTTTTTTGATGTGTTTAAAACTTTTCTGTCTTCTTGAAGAACTGATCTTTTTATCAATATATAATGTTCTTTTCTCTTAAAAGTTATTGACTTAGTTTAATTATGTCTCATATTTAGTCATCCCAGCTGTCTTCTGGTTACTGTTTGCATGGCATATCTTTTGTCGCCTTTAACTTTAAACTTTATTTGTGTCACTTGATTTAAAGTAAGCCTATCATAGACAGCATATGTAGTACGATCATATATTTAAAAAAAAAACAACAAAACCTACTCCAGCAATGAATGGCTTTTGACAAGAGAGTTTAAACCCCTTACCATTTATGTCCCTATTTCCTCTGTTACTGTCTTCTTTTGTGTTTAGTTTATTTTCTGTAATGTACCATGTAGATTATCTTCTTCCATTTGTGTATATTTTAAAGATTTTTTTTAGTGGTATCATGGGGATTACAGTTAACATCCTGACATCCTAAAGCAATCAGTTTGTTCCCCCTCCTACAGCTTGTTTCCCGCCACCAAGCTTTACTGAGATATATTGACATGGAACATCGTGTAAGTTGAGGTTGTGCCATATGATGATTTAATGTGCATCTATGTTGCAAAATGATCACCACCCTAAGGTCGGTCAACGCTTCCATCGCCTCCCGTAGTTACCATGGTTTTGTGTGGTGAGAACTTTTAAGACCTACTCTCTTAGCGCTTCTCAAGTGTGCAGTGTTAACTCTAGTCGCCTTGCTGTGTATTAGATCCCAGAATAAATCAGTCAAGTTTGAGTTGATACCAACTTAGCTGCGATAGCATACAAAACTCCCACTTCTACACAGCGCTGCCCCCCTCCTTACGCTGTCATTGTCACAAACGCATCTATACGTTGTGTTCAGAAACCAGCTTTATATTGCCCTGGTAGCTCAGTTGGTGAGAGCGTCATTCCTGCTACAGCAAGGTTGCAGGTTTGATCCCAGGTAAGGGCACATACGAGAATCAACCAAGGAATGTGTAAGTGGAACAACACATTGCTTCTCTCTCTCTCTCCCCGCCCTTTCTAAAATCAATAAATAAAAATGTTTAAAAGAACAGATTTATAATTATTTTATGCATTGGTCTTTTAAATCAGGTAGGAACTAAACAGTGTATATAAACCAAAAAGGCAATACTACTCGCTCCCGTACTTACCTGTGTAGCTGCTTTTACCAGAGACCCCCACCCCTCACACGGCTCTGAGCCCTGCCTGCCGCCCTTTCGCCTTCAGGGCTGCCGTTAGCATTTCTTGAAGGGCTGGTCTATGGGCAGTAAACATCCTCAGCCTTTACCTGGAATGTCTGAATTCCTCCTCTATTTTTAAAAACTGATTTTAGGCAGAGTGAATAAAAACTTTATTCTCTACCAAAAAAATAATAATAAAAATAAATGAAAACTGATTTTAGAGAGAGGAAGTGGGGGCAGGGAGAGAGAAAGAAACATCAACCCAAGGTTGTGTGTTTGATTTCTGGTCAGGGCACATGCAGGAATCAACCAATGAACGCATAAGTAAGGGGAACAGCAAATCGATGTTTGTTTCTCTTTGTTTCTCTCTCTCTCCCCTTCCTCCCTCTCCCTTCCTTTCTCTCTAAAGTCCATAAAAATTTTTTAATTAAAAAAGTACAAAAACCGAACAGACCATAACAATTAAATATTGAATCAGTAATTTAAAAACCTCCTAACAAAGGAAAGGTCAGGACCAAATGGCTTTACTAGTAAGGCCTACCAAACATTTAAGGAAGAATTAATACCAATTTTGTTTCACAGTCTTAAAAATACTGGAAGAGAAAGGAAAACCAAATAAAGACATCACAGGAAAAATCATACCAAGATCTCTTATGGCTACAAATCCCTCAAAAAAAAACACGAGCAAACTGAATCCAACCCTATATTAACTCACCCCATGCAGGGTGGTTCATCGTAAGAAATCCAGTCAGGCCCTGGCTGGTGTGGCTCAGTGAATTGAGTGCCAGCCTGTGAACCAAAAGCTCAACCATTGGATTCCCAGTCAGGGCACAGGCCTGGGTTGTGGGCCAGGTCCCCAGCAAGGGGTGCTCAAGAGGCAGCCACACGTGGATGTTTCTCTCCCTCTCTTTTATCCCTCCCTTCCCCTTTTTAAAATAAATAAAATCTTAAAAAAAAAAGAAGGAAAACCAGTCAATGTCATTTACCACTGCAATAGAATGGAGAAAAACCATAATCATCTCAATTGATGCAGAAGTTTTTAACAAAATCAAACATTCCTTAATTCATAATATACAGAAACCTCAACACAATAAAGGGCATTTATTAAAAACCCACACCTAACATAGGACACAGCAAGGAAAGGGTAAAATACACCTTTCCTTTATTGATCAGGAAAATACACCTGCTTTCACCGCTGCTATTCAACACTGTACTGGACGTTCAGACCAGAGCAGCAGGAAAAAGAAAGAAAAGGCGTTCACATTTGGAAGGAAGACGTAAAGCTGTCGCACTGAAGGAGTGGCTCAGCTGGTTGGGTGTTGTTCCAGAAAGCGAAGGGTTGTCAGTTCAGTTCCCAGGCAGGGCACACGCCTGGGTTGTAGGTTCTGTCCTCGGACTGGGCGTGTGA